CGCTCAATGAGAGCCGCGCCCCGGACCGGCAGCCGGAGAAGTACACGTCCCGCTTCTACCTCAAGTTCACCTACCTGGAGCAGGCGTTCGACCGCCTGTCCGAGGCCGGCTTCCACATGGTGGCGTGTAACTCCTCGGGCACCGCCGCCTTCGTCAACCAGTACCGGGACGACAAGATCTGGAGCAGCTACACCGAGTACATCTTCTTCCGTAAGTTCGCGCCCCGGCTGCCCTGAGGCTCCGCGGCCCCCGCCCGCTGCTCTTTTTCGGAGCGGGTTTGGAGGCAGGTTTTCCCGTAAGCAGTAAATAACGGTGTGTGGTTTCGCCCTTCCAGATCTACCTCCCGACTCCACTTTCCGTAAACTCCGGAGCGCCCCGTCCTTCGCGGTCCGCTCCCTAACTTTGCTGATCTTGGCTCGCGCCCCGCTGCGTCCTGGGTCCCCGGTTTCCCTGGGCTGCCCAGGCGCAGGCCGAGGGAGCGCGGCGGGGCGCGCAGGTGCTGCACCTCCCAGCTCCTGCAGGACTCCTGGGCAGTTTGCGTGCTCCCGGGTACCGTCCCTTCGGGGAGCACCTGGCACCAGGCATAGCCCTGCACCACCAGGATGGCCTCCCGTGGGGGCGGCCGGTGCAGGAGCCCCCCGTTACCGCGAAGTGGTGGCGGCGCGCGCGCGTGGTGGGAAATGGGCAGCAGAAACGGGGTGTTCCCGGCGACAGGTCTCATCTCCAGCGCACTGCCTGGCGTTTTGGACTGGGGGGCGTGGAGAGAGCTACGGAGTGTGGATGTCTGGGTGCTGCTCTCGGGATTAGAAGTTAGGAAGGGGTATGGGGGTGTGTCCGAGAGAGAGAAATTGTGTTCCCTTGTGCAAAAGGGGTCGAATCCGCTCCGCATGATGGGTAAGTGCAATGATTTTCCGAAGCGAGAATGAGCAAGAGGGTTTGGACAAGCCTTTGGCGCCAGGAGTTTTGGGGTGCGCTTGGGGAGGGAGCTCTGTGGAGTGCGAGCGCTGCCCCGCCATCGCTGGGGAACCTTGACTGGGGCTGGGGGTGGCGCGGGGGTGTGGCGAGCGCAGTTTGGATAAAGTGAGGCGCTCTACCGCTAGAGAGCGATTTGGGCAAATGAAAAGCCAGCTGGGATGGCAGCCTGGACATTGCTTGGCAAAAGTTTTTCCGTTGGCAACACACACGAAGCTTTAAAACTTGCCTGTGGGGTTAGAGAAGCATTGAAAACAAATGATGGAAATAGAGCAGCTTTCCTTATATTTATTTATTTTGCCTGCTCACTCGCTGTGTGGGAACTGAACAGTTTTCTTCGCTTTAGTTTGACCGCAGACGTGAAAAAGACTTCCCTGCACAGGTGCAAGCTTGACTGGAGGTGGCTCAGTGGTACGCTAGGAGGTGGGTGGAAGAACAGCCCACCTGCTCCTAGAGCTAGATTAGCTTTTAAAATAGCACTGAATGGGGACCAGAATGTGGTGTGGTTAAGGCGCTGCATCCCACATGGTTAACCATGGTTCGAGTCCCAGACCTGGCGGCTTGCTTGTTTGCTTTCTGTCCATCTCTGGTGAATTAATAATAATACATAAAATTAAATAAATAATTATAAACAATAATGCTGGATGTCCTCAGGAAACCACCTCAACAGGGAATGGGTGGGTAAAAACCTAATTGTCTTAATTATATCCAAGTATTTGTTACACAGTAAAGAGTTTGATGGCCAGAAAAGTGATTTAAGGGAAGGTAGTATCAATATGTTATTGTTCACATAAATTTGGCAGATCGTCACTATTAAGAAAACAAAATACTTTTTGCATTATTTCTTTATATTTTATTCCCTATCAATTTGACTTCTATCAACATTTTAGATTTTAACATTTAAGTCACTTTAACATAAAGCGTTTCAGAAGATGAGACGAAGTGAACTTTTTCTTTTCCTGGTTATTAATGATTTTTGTTAGAGAACATCAGAGCATGAGTGTTCTACAAAGTTAAAGTCTTACATTTTGAGAATTTGTATGGTTTTGGTCTTTTTTTGCTTAAAAAGTTGTGGATTTGAAAATGGTCATTTATTTGATTATGGAGAGGTAATGCAGGTCAACACCAAATTAGAGGTTAAAAAAAACCCCAAAAACTGCCCTTAATGTAGTGAAGTTGCATACAATTTAACTAACAATAATTTGATAGGTATTTGACATTTAGGGTCTGTTTTAGTTCTGAAGTTGGAAGTATTACATAAAATATTAGGAAAGACCACTTGCAGAGTACTCGTGTTACTAATGACCTCTGAGATTCATTCATAGACATCTCAGAAATCTAAGGAAGCTATCCATAACCTCCTTTATTGATAATCCTGACTTGGGGGAAAATACTCCATTTGAAATTCAATATGATTCTTTTGAAGTGGTCATCCGGTCATTGATCAACTAAATGTAGTTGTCATTTGAAATTTTGGATGTAAAGTTTATCTGATCTCTAGGATCATCATTAATATATCTAGTTTATGTTTAATATAGCTTGCATTATATTTTCACAAATTGTTTTAAGTAGTATCCTTTTCTTTTTCTTTTTTTTTTTTTGGAGAGGTTTCTGCTATAGAGCGTGTGGGCTCACCAGACAGAAAGAGAGAGACAGAGAGACAGAAAGTGAGAAATCACCCCCCAGGGGGGATGGTCACGCCGCAATCCCTTCTCCTCCATTCTCCTCTTGGGATCTTGGGC